GTTATTAATGGTTTCACGATTATATCATATGTCATTCTCTAAATGATGTTTGACCTAATAATTTACTATTCCTTTTGGGAAATTTCGCATAGGATAAGATTTTGAAATCATCTCCTTATAAGTAACCCAAATTTGAATCACGGTGTTTTCAAACATATATAACAAGGAGTTGGGTTGTGAAATTATTATGAATTGGGCCGATTAGCACATGGCTTATGGCGAACCCTTTACATATATAGCAGTGAACATGATGCGATTTTAGAAACACAAGAGACCAGAAATGAAACAATTTTCCAATTAAAATTTTAGCCTTTAGCCTTTTGTCCAATACACCATATCCCAAGAAACATGAAACAATTTTAGTTTTTTTTTGTTCTTTTTTAGCCCACAATCGAAATTTGGTTACATAATAGTTTTGGTTCATAAACACAATCATAGCCATAATTTTGGACCCTTATGAATTGTGATGTTGAATTTGATTCGCCAACAAAAAAAAAATCATAGTCATAAACATTCATAATAACATAAAAGAATCTTAAACATCTATGATAACAAATTCAAAGTTTAGTAAAAGTCAAATGAATATCAACGAACTAATAATATTAGAAGTAATTAATATAATTATAGCGGTGCGGTTACTTTTTTTCAGTGTTTTAAAAAACGGTTTTTTAGTTGAACCGGTATGGTGACCGGTTCAACCAGGTTCTATAATTTTCATATTTTTTTCTATTTTTCTATACATATATACATATATAAATCATGAACTTGACGTTTAGAAGTCCAGACATATATATATATATATATATATATATATATATATATATATATATATATATATATAAGTTGTAAATCGATCCAAATATATAATCATAAGTTTTAATGTTTTACATCAATCCATATACGTCGAAAAGAAAATAAAATATAATACCAAAATAAAATATTGTTTCAGATGAATAAAGGCATATCATAAAACTTTATAACATTTATTATGAAAATGGTTTTTTTTCCATGTGTTTTCATTCGGTTAAACCGGTTTTTTTGACTGGTTGAAACAGGTTTTTACTAAAAACCGGCCGGTTCAATCAAATTCCGAAATCGACGTAAAACCAGTGATTGTTAAACCGCTCTCTCTCCCGGTTTCCGGTCCAACCGGTTCGACCGGCCAGTTCAAACCGGTTTTTAAAACATTATTTTTTAAGAGTGAGTTGTTAAGGTAAAATTGCATCGAACCGACTTTGACTGGTCTTCGTCAAATTAAGAACCGTAGAGTCGGTTTTTGTATCGTTTTTCAGTTTGTTGCGAGTTTTTTGGTTTCTTTTAGATCTTTTTGATTTTGCTCACCCTACCCATATCCTCGCAATTCTAGGAAGCTATAGTGGATGGTAGGGGAGCCAAATTATGATGAGTTAATTTGAAAATAATTAATCTCAAGAGTTAAATGTAAATATCCATTCTTTGTCATTATCTTTTATTTTAGTATAATGATAACTTATCAACCAAAAAAATGATAATTACCAATAATAAAGCATAAACCCTAAGAATGAAGAGGAACCGATCATAAGAGATTCAACTCTCTTCACACATTTTTTTTGTTCACTCCAAAACCTCTCTTTCACATCCTCTATATTCTCTCCTTAAAAGTCTTGCAAGTCTCGAATTTCGGTAACGATCAAGCAAAGAAGAAGGTTGTGTTTATTTTGCAGATCATACTCTTAGGGTGCAACTTCATGAAATGAACCCTGGTTTGGGTTCTAGCTCATCCAAACGACGCCAAGAAGACGGTTCTAATCAAACCCGCAACAATGCCTATATTTAAGGCGAAACTATGACAAAAAGAAAATTTAGACTAAAACCGTAATATTTTGACAACGACAAGGACCATTCCTGTAATTTACTCTAGAAAATCTAATATCACTAAAAGAGGAAATATCGTGAAAGGTAAAAAGAAAAATCCAACGTCTCTATAGGGCTGACAATTCTCGACACGACACGACACGCGACACGACACGAAATAAATGGGTTTGGGTTGAGTTTTTCAACCCGCCAACCCATTTATTAAATGGGTCATATATGGGTTTCTCATAAAATAAACAGGTTGACCCGCCAACCCGGTTATATTCTTAATAAAAAAAATTATTATATTTTTAAATATATTTATGTATCAAGTATTAATATTTAATAAGTATTATATAATATATACCATTTATTCATAGACCATTTGATTGTTTTGACATTATTATTCGTGGTGGATAGTCTAAGGTCATAAGTGATAACCTATAAGGTTAAGTCTGTAACATGTTTCTATTAATGTTTTCAATTTTCATTTAGATGTTTAAGACATAAATATCTAAAATTTGGACCCACGAACCCAAATCTGATCCACGAACCAGCCAACTTGTGAACCCGTATAAATAAATGGGTTGGTGGGTCATATATGGGTTTATGTTCCAAACCCGCCAACACGTGACCCGCCAACCCGTGACCTGTATATTTAAATGGGCCGTGTTTGGGTTGGCATATTTTGACCCGCCAACCCGCCAACCCGCGACACGCCAACCCGAACACGACACGATTGCCAGGCCTACATCTCTGTCTCACCTCTCTCGCCGGCTCCTTTTCTTTCCTCGTTGACTCGCCTTATACCGGCCGACTTCGCGCCGTTCGCTTTGGATTTTTCACTCAACGTCCTTCTAAATCGCGCTGCTGTTGGATCGTCCGCATTCTCTCTGCTTCAGGTGTCGCTGTAGCTCTGTATGCAGGTAACTGTGAATGAACATTCTTTCAAGTTAGTTTCACATGTTGTTAGACAATTATATCTGATTAATCTAAAATCACATCATAATTATTTGTTTTTACATTAATTAGGGATTGAAATTTCGATTATTTCAGTACGGATAGTACAGAGTTTATCCTTGACTTCTTAATTCCTTATATTCCAACTCACAAACACAATGAATAAACTTTAATACGCGATTGTAATAGTTGTACTTTTAGTTGTGTTATATGAAATAGGGGTGTTTTCAGCTTTCAGATGCTTTTACTTTTGGCTATTTTCAGATGTTGTAAGTACAAGTAGGGTTTGGTTGACTTAAACTTTTGCTCTAGGGGCAACACAAAGCAAAGCTTTCACATGGCTTTTGAAAATAAAAAAGATGCAACTCAAAATTGATGATGATGTATATATTCTTGTGTATAATGTGAATTTATCTTTAAAGTTTCATCTAGTATAGACCTTGTAATTTAAAGCTTAGAGATGGTGGGACTTGTGACTTTCAAAAACTTATCATTTGGAGCAACCCATCAACATTCTATACTAGATTTAATGATAGAAAAATTCACATTTCAAAAGATGTTCTCGTTAATTCCAGGGACTTTTTCTTGCTTTTGGGTCTTTTAATTCATGGTGTTGATTATTAGTTTAGAAAATAGCAGGGATGGCGATGATAAATACAAGTAGGATTTGGTTAACTTGAAGTCATGTTCTAGGGGTAGAAAAATAGGTTAATCAATCTAATTAACTGAGTAACCAAACTTTAAACAATTCCCATCTTAATGTTATGGCGATTCTACATCAATACATAGCTGTACATATATTGGTTCTTTCTATTTGTTTGTTGCTTTCAAAGCTTATTAAATTCAAATAATAAGTTTGGAGGTGCATATGTTTTGTTATTCAAACATTTATAAGTTTTATTTTGTAGGAAAATAAAAGCAATAATTTGGATTTTGTGTAGAGACATTATGTATGGGATCCTGAGATAGAGGCAGAAGTGAGCAAAGTGTGGGTAAAAAAGCTTCAGAGGTTATTGGGAAGAGTGAAGGTCATTAATCCATAACTCATAATGGTTGTTCTCCATGAAATTTCTGAAGGGGCTTCATCTTCTTCTTCAACTCATGGTCATAGATATGATGTATTTTTAAGTTTTAGAGGTGTTGATACTCGTAATAGTTTCACTAATCACCTTTATAATGCTCTCATGCATGCCAACATCACTACCTTCTTGGATGATGAAGAGATTGAAATAGGGGAAGATCTGAAACCAGAATTGGAGAGTGCCATTAAATCATCTAGGGCTTTTGTTATTGTGCTGTCAAAGAATTATGCTGACTCCACGTGGTGTTTTGACGAATTGGTGCTGATCCTTGAGCAACGTATGACATCCAATCATATTGTTATTCCTGTCTTTATCATGTTGAGCCCACACATGTCAGGAAGCAAGAAGGTAGCTTTGGAGATGCAATGGCTAAGCATAAAAAGATGATGGAGGTGGAGGCAGATGGAAATAAATATAAGTAAATTGGCTCAAAAGATGGATCGATGGAATAAAGCGCTTACAGAAGTTGCTAATATAAAAGGAAAGGATGTAAACGGCAGGTAACGACTTTCTTACCCTACTTCCCTAATACTCTTTTAATTTTGATTAATTAACACATGAAAAGTCAATATCATCTTCTCCTTCTCCTTTTGCGATTCAATATCATATCCTCAAATAGGCATATTTTTATGCATTTAACTTTGGATATAGATACGCTTGAATTGAATATAATTTTTGCAATTATGTGATCTCATAAATTAATTTCCTATAGGCTGGTTAAACCATCCTCCTAACTTTAACACATTTTCTATGCATTTATCATTTTAAAATAAATAAATTCATTGAGATAACCATTTTAATGAGCTTGTAGGTTGTTTTATGTATAAACCAAAATTTTAACGGCCCTAATGCATACATTATTTCTATATCATTTTACCTTCAAATCATATCATTCTTTATTATGACATTTTAAGGCTCTTACTTGTAACTTGTAAGTAGTAAAGGTTAACTTATAACTATTCACCGACATTTTGGTCCTATTCTAATTTTTTTTTTCAAGCATAATATTAGTTCAATACATATCGATGGAAGGCAAACGGGCAACAAGCTGCGCCGTTAGCCCTTTCTGGATGACAAAACTAATCCTTTTAAAAACAACATTTGTGAATCTAGGAGATATTACATTAGAGTGCATGACCCGTTGGACTCTGTTGAGGAGCTCCACCAAATGTGCGAGAAAACCAAATGCGAGATAATAATATTTGTGATGTGCAAAACTTAATTAAGCAATAGCTTAATGATATAAATTTGATCTGGATCTTTGGAAAACTTAGATCTCTAATATGGCATGTTAGTTTTTGGAATTTGTTTGTGGTTCTTACTGAAATCAAATTTCAGGCTAAAGGTGGCGTTTATTGATGAAATTGTTACAGACATCTTCAATAGATTACACATATATTCTCAAGGTTTCCATTGCCACATCTTATTGGGATGGAGAATTCCATTAAATTCATTACATCATGGCTAAAAGATGCATCCTCACATTCCATAGATATAATCACCATCTTTGGTATGGCTGGCATTGGAAAGACTTCTTTAGCCAAATATGTCTATGGGTTACATTTTCATGAGTTCGACACAAGCAACTTTATTGAAAATATAAATAGGAGATGTGAAAAACGTGATGGGTTGCTTGATTTACAAAAACAACTCTATGATGACATTTCAAAGCGAAGTTCAGTTCAAGCTCATGATACTTCTATTTACACCTCAATGATAGAGAAAGCAGTATCTTGTAAAAAGTTGTTTCTAGTTCTTGATGATATTGGTAGTCTTGACCAATTAGATGCATTACTTGGAAGCAAAAGCTTTCATCCAGGAACCAAAATCATAATAACAACAAAGGACGCATGGTTGACAAAGAGCTGTGCACTATTCAAAACACACGTTCAACCCAAACATGAAATGTATGAGCTTAAAGTCTTATCTGAGATCAATTCACAAAGACTTTTTTCTTTTCATGCATTCATGTGCAATGATCCCAAGAAAGGTTATGAAGAGGCGTCTGAAAAACTTGTGAAATATTGTCAGGGACATTCAATGGCTTTAAAAGTTTTGGGCAAAAGTCTACATAATCGAGATGTAACTTATTGGGAGGGATACATAGAAGGGCTAAAGAAAGAGAATGGTTCCCCTATAAATAATGTCTTGAGAATGAGTTTCGACTCTTTGCCATTCAAAAATGATAAGGACTTGTTTAAGCACATTGCTTGTTTTTTTTGATGGAATGGATAGAGATGTTACCGAAACAATATTAAATGCGTGTGATATAGACTCAAGATCCAGGATCACCAATCTTGTTGACAGAAGTCTTCTTACTATCGGATGGAACAACGAATTAATGATGCATCAGGTTCAAGAGATGGGAAAATTCCTAGTACGTGAAGAATCGATTGACAAACCATGGGAAAGAAGTTGATTATGGTGTCATGAGGAGTCATTCAAATTGTTGAAACAAAAAAAAGTAAGAGACCATGTATACTTGTTTAAAGCATATTGTATTTTTATATACATGTTTTATAATATTTTAAAATATTTTTGAATCCCATTTCTTCTTAGGTTATGGAAAATGTTCTAGGGCTCACCCTTGACATGAGAATGCTTGAAAAAGGAAGTTGTATGGATCACTTGAGTTGAAAACAGATGCATTGAGTAAGATGGATAGTCTAATGCTGCTACAACTCAATTATGTGCACATAACCGGCTCTTACAAGAATTTTCCGACAGAATTAAGATGGTTGTGCATGCATGGGTTCCCTTTAAAGTCTATACCTTCAAACTTACCGATGGAGAATATGGTTGCTTTTGACATGTCATATAGCAATATCGAGTCATTTGGGTTTTATAGCTATCCACAACAATCTCATAAGAGGCTAAAGGTATCTTATCTCCATTTACTAGTTTATTATGTCGAGAGGATGTAATTCACAACTATTTTAATTTATCTGAATTTCAGCAATTGAAAGGATCGAGCTCAAAAGACAAAAGGTTGCTTGGATCGTTGAAGATTCTTAATTTAAGTTCATGTGAACAACTTCGTAGTCTTGGTGGCTTTGACCATCTCCCTTCACTTGAGAGGTTAATACTTAAAGGTTGCATTGGTTTGCTTGAGGTTTGTGAATCAATTGAACAAAGTCGTGAACTTGTCCTCATTGATTTTAGCTACTGCAACAAGCTTCAAAAATTTCCAAGAAGCATAAGCATGTTAAAGAAGGTTAAAACATTGTCGCTAGAGGGGTGTAGTCTTCGTGAATCTTGAATCGAGATTAGGAATACGGATTCAATAGAAAATCTCAAGGCTAACAACATTGTCGTAAATACAGAAACGTCTTCCCCTTCCATTCTCGAGGCTATACCAAGTGATTTGAAGTTCTTTACGATTCTTTTACCGAGAACTTTAGTGAAGTTGGAACTTACAAATAATAATTTGTTTACCGAATCCTTTCCCATGGACTTCAGTTGCCTATCTATGTTAGAGGAATTATGTATATATGAAAATCCTATTGTTTCCATGCCTAATTGTGTGAGTAGCCTTCCTAGGCTTAAAGTGCTTAGTATGTCATACTGTTATAAGCTGATGTCAGTCGAACATCCTCCACATACACTAACAAATTTAACTATACTTTTTGGTTCTAGTTCTAAGCCTTTGCTACGAAAAGTTGTATTTGATCCAAAAATGTCCCCACTTGAGTTCTTTATAGACTCGAAGATGTTTGCACTTTCGTCGTTTGAATTTGAAGGCATGGTGAAAATCCAAGCAAAGGCAGATGTTGAGGAAAAGGTGCTGCGTAGTTTGGGTTGGACAAAACTAAACTTCCTTAACAAAAGGCGTGCGAGGATTGAAATCTGGTTTAGAGATACAGAGGAGTCTGAAATCCAGGTATTCTCTAGTTAACTATGTCTTTGTGTGAATATATATATATATATATATATGTGTGTGTGTGTGTGTGTTAATAAGTTAGTTGTATTTGGCAGATGTATTACGAATTTGGAATATTTAGCACAATTTATGGAGGCGAAGATATGCCAAATTGGATTACAAATAGAAGTATGGGGCCCTCAATATCATTTACCATCCCATCACCTCCTAACAAGTTTAGAGGATTAAATTTCTGCTGTGTGCTGACCTCTGGATTTATGGATCAGCTCCTTGATTTGCCAGTGATCATAATTAATAATATAACAAAGAACCTCATCTGGATATACCAACATTACCTTGACATTATCTATCTTGGTGACAAGTGTTTTACATTGTTAAGCCATTGGATATTTGGGATGAATGAGATGGAATGTGGTGACCACGTTACTGTTACTGTGCCCATACCATATTTATATGTTGATCAAGTTACAAAGGAGTGTGGGGTGGGTTTTGTTTATGAGAATGGGAGCAAGGATGAAGAAGAAGATGATTTGGGTTATTACAAGTCATGGAATCACATCATTGGTGGAGATCTCACCGGATTTCAGTTTAAAACAGGAGAATACACCCTACACACCCGGAGATTTATGGACCATGGCAATGAAGTGGATCAATATTTTCATGAACTTGTAGACGGTGCCTGCTATAAAGGTTGATGTCATTTACTAATATCAAACTTAAATTTGTTTTATTTTTCTTGTGCAGAAATATACATGTCTATTTACATAACTTCCATAAGTTGAGTAAAAAACAGTTTATCCAAGTGGATGTATATAAGTAATAATTGGTGTATTACTGTTTTTTATCTGTTTTCATCAGAGAAGCCACAGGGGTTTAGAGCTTTATCCCAAAATCACAAAATGGTGACACATGTGAGGTATTCTTCTGACACCCAAATCATTCTCTCATCACATGAATAAAAGGTACACGCAGCCATATATGTTACCATTGTTTCTATTAATTGGTTCGGGATGTAACAAAATAAAAAGTGTATCAACCTTGCGATGGATCTTTGAAAGTGTCAAAATCAAAATGGACTTGGAAATGGCAACATCAGAATGTACTAGTATGTTCCGCAACTGTTCACATTTGTAGGTTCAAATCTTTAGTCATAAGGAACATGTTGAACTCGCCCAAAAGTTTAATGAGTGGGAGCATAATAAATGCAGTGGGAGCATAAAAATACATGTAAAACCAATGTAGTTTGTTTTAAGGCTTCTTTATTCTGTTCTTTCTCTCATGTCTCGGTAATATATATATCTCATTATATTTGTGAAATAATGTGATTTTTGTTTCTGAGTAGTATGGTGTTTTGTAATTTTTCTGTTCAATTAGTATAGGATGATGTTTTATGATTTTGTGTCTGATTGTGATTCTTCATTTTTATCGCATTGGATTATGAGATTTTGATTGTGGTGGTTATAACTTATAAATTTTATTTATGTATTGAAATAGATCTCATTTTCTTAATTATCTGACAATATTTTTATTTGAAAAGCTGAAGATTCAAATAAAACTACTAGCAAGGGGCTAGAAAAAATATTACAAAGTATTATGGATCATTGGGTTTTGTATCCACAAATTCCATGAAATACAATCTTTACTATTGTAATATTAAACCAATCAAAAGAAACAATAATTATGCTTTCAAATAACTTGATCCTATCCTTCACCTCATATCTGAAAAGAACCTCGTAGTGATTCCTCCATATAATGTAGTAAAAACTATCATTCTCAAAAGCATCATTTTCCTTGTATTCATCATGACAATATCCACCGAATGAAATAACTCCTCCACATTAGAGAATAAAGGGAAGGGTAAATCTAACCACTCCATCACCTTAGCCTACAACCTAGCCACAACATCACAAATCAATCTATCATTCAACAAGGTTTTTCCATGTGGGGATCATGTCCAACAAAACACGCCACACCTAAAAACTCATTTTATTTGGGACTTGTGCTTTTTAGAAAAAGATGTGAACACATTGCAATGAATCATGGTGGAAACCTTGCTATCTACTCTCAACCAAATCCTTAAAAAAATTTTCAACTCTTCTTGATACTCGTACGGATCCTGTGCTTTCGGTAGTATAGGCCTATACTACTTTCCACACTTATCCATATTATCCCAAGAAGTGTCTCGAGATTCCCAAGTCATTACCCATGTCTACTTCCAAGCAATCTAATCACCTATACCCACCCTAAAACGAGTACACATTGCTAATGTTCCTAGATTTCCCTTCTAGGATCTCTCTTATGTAAGTGCTCACACAAGCATATTCTAACATTCTTCCTAGGTCACTAGGAATTCCCACCCCACCTTGCTATCAGCTGTGGAAGAAATTTTAACCAATGCCAACTAAATATCTTACATATACAATCACATGCAAAAAAATTAAATAATCTTTAGACTACAAGATCATGCACTACAATGGATGGACTCAAACAAGAGCTACTCAATAGAGCCTAATCAAACATTCTAAAACTATTTAATTTTTATGCCATACAACCTAACGTATTCACTTAACAGTCAATTAACATCAATATAGGTTTCACATAACACAAAGCAAGCAACATTCGAGCAGCAAATCTATTAGGCAATAAGGCATCATAAAGATCAGGAAATTCTATCATGCAATTCCTAAAGATCCTTAGCCTACACATTATCATACATCTCTAACAATTCACATATCAGTCATAGTCATAAAAGGCATCTATCCTAAACATGTACCTAGCATGTAATCCCTGAGCGGATCCTTACTCTAACTTCTAACATGTATATCATATCATATCACATATAACATATCAACATGTATGTGTATTTGGGGAATCATTTACTTGAGCCAAGTTCTTGAAGTGTGAGTTTTGGTTACGAGAGGTTCAGTTCCTCGGACATCTCGTTAACCGGGAGGGGATTTTGGTTGATCCGGCCAAAATCGAGGCGATTATGTAGTGGGAGGTTTTGAAATCTCCTTCGGATATCAGGAGTTTTCTAGGATTGGCAGGGTATTACCGGATATTCATACGGGATTTCTCTAAGATTAAAGTACCCCTCACGTGTCTGACGAGGAAGGGGGTGAATTTCTGGTGGGGCCCCGAGCAACAGAGGGTGTTTGAGACCCTCCGACAGCGATTATGTGAGGCTCCAATCTTGAGTTTCCCAGAGGGAGTTGAGGATTTTGTGGTGTTCTGTCATACTTCCATCACGGGATTAGGAGCAGTCCTCATTCAGAGAGGACGGGTGATAGCCTACACTTCACGGCAGCTGAAGCCGCATGAGGCGAGATACCCTACTCATTATCTGGAGTTGGGAGCAATGGTATTCACTCTCAAGGTTTGGAGACATTACCTCTATGGGGTCCGTTGTACCATATACACAGATCACAAGAGCCTGAGACACATCATGGAGCATCCGAACTTAAACATGAGACAGTGCAGGTGGCTAGATGTAGTCAAGGACTACGACTGTGAGATCCTTTACCATCCAGCTAAAGCGAATGTGGTGGCGGGCACTCTGAGCCACAAGTAAGCTTGGTCTTCCACCCCAGCGACATGTATAAGGATAGTGGTAGATTCTCCACTCGTGAGTTTGATTAGAGATGCTCAGGCTGAGGGCATGCAACCATAGAACTGGAAACTAGAGAGGATCAGGGGCGAGAACGCCCGATTTGTGCATGATAGCCGGGGATTGTTGACTCGATGCGGCTGAGTATGGGTTCTGATGTCTGGTGGGGTCAGGCAGCTGGTTATGGAGGAGGCTCATAAGTCTCACTTCTCTATTCACCCGGGAACCACTAAAATGTACTGGGATTTGAGTTTGAGCTATTGTTGGCCGTGCATGAAGCGAGAAATCGCTTGGTACATCGAGAGGTGCTTGACCTGTAGGATAGTCAAGGCCAAGCATCATATCTCGCATGGAAAGTTGCAACCTCTAGAGATTCCCATGTAGAAATAGGAACAGGTCACGATGGACTTCATTACTGTAACACCTGGTTCCTGGTATGTATTTTAATATAAGTGTTTTTGCATTTTTAGCTGGGACTCGGCGAGTTGGTGGCCCGACTCGCCGAGTAGAGTCGAGATATTGAGCATGTTTAAGTTGGCAACTCGGCGAGTCCATATCCTGGACTCGGCAAGTCCGCCAGTCTGGAAGAAACCCTAGATCCACGGGTTTTGCATGCTATTTAAACCATGTTATGAGCCACAAACTCGCCCCCTTCACTCTCAAAGCATCCTTTAGCAAACCCTAACCCTCCCTTTTGTGATTTGAGTTTTTGTGTGCTTTTCCTTGAAGTTTGAAGAAGAGAAGGAAGGAAGGACCAAGGAGAAGGAGAAGAGCAAGGATCTAGAACTCAACCCAGAGTCCATTGAGGTATATTTCAGATCTTTTCTTTTGCCATGATGATTTTTCTTTTAGAAACCCCATTTAAGCCATATTTATCCATCTCCTAGCTTGATTGTAATATAGAGATCATATTGAATGGAATGGCCTTTGAATCTAGCTAGGTTTGAGCTTCAAGAGCCCAGATCTATTGCCTTTATGGAGCCATTTTGCATGAAAGCCCTACATCTACTCTTTTAAATGTCTTTTGAGCCTTTAAATCCCTTTTCATGTATATGTACATGTAAAGTTGGAAACTTTACGTGGTAAACAAGCCTTAGGAACCCAGATCTATAAATTGTATGCAGTGGTTTTGAGCAGAATCGATTGTATAGAAGTTGCATGCAACCGACTCGGCGAGTTGGGTCGCGAGTCCTCGAGTTTTCCCCTTCTGTGTATTATGTCGAGTGGAACTAGTGAGTTTTAGGGGGACTCAGTGAGTCGGAGATCGGACTCATCCATGGAGGGACTCGGCGAGTCAATGCCCTGACTCGGTGTGTCCAAGGCAATCTTCATATCTCAAGAACAAACTCAAAGGTTGTTCATACAACTCGGCGAGTCCCAGTTGGAGTGTTCATATGATGAAGGAGAACTCGACGAGTTATTCATACAACTCGGCGAGTCGGATGCAGATTGACTAAGTGTTTGTATCGAAGAGGAACTCATTGAGTCTATGCCAAACTCGACGAGTAGTAGCGAGCAGAATTGAAAAATGAGAGTAGAGACTCGACGATTTGGGGGCCTAACTCGACTAGTCAGGTCAACTGTATGTTGACTTTGACCAAGAGGTTGACTTTGACCAGGGGTAAAATAGTCATTTTACCCTCAGTATAGTTATTAGTATCTGATTGAGTGTACTTATGGAAATTGTAGCCGGGGTGAAACTAGAGCAGCAACAGACAGATTCCAGAGCAGTTCATTTAGCAGCTAGACTACGAGGTGAGTCTTCTTTATAGTAGGAACGGGTCTACGGCCACAATGCCGGCCCGTTTAGTTAGCAGTAGTTCCGGACCTCGGTCCGATGTAGTAGTTAGATTGCTTGATGTCTTTGTGATTCAAGTATGATTGTATTATGTGTTCCGGACTTCGGTCCGATGCAGTATGCACTATATGTGCTTATGCTAGTTGATATGTTTATGCTATGCCATGTTATGCTCAGTCAGTTTCCGGACTTCGGTCCGATGCAGGGGACAAGGTCCCAGTTAGTTACGGATTTCGATCCGATGCAGTATCATGCAACAATTAAGAATTCATATGTTGCTCGAGGCTCCA